TAAAATCCTATCAAACAATCATGAAAAGCGGTAGTGGCAGCAAATGCGTCAATTTTAATTTTTAATATGGTAAATATTGATAAATATAACCCATGCAAACAAAAGCTCTTTTGGGGTCCACCATAATTTTTAAAAGTGGGCAGGGGTCCTGAAAGAAAAAAGTTTAAGAAACACTGCTATATTTTAATGCTGCTACATATGCGACATTTATATGAGTGTTGAATGAAAAGTAATGCCTCCAGTGTGCTAAATCGCCAGCAGAAACTTACTGACAGGCTAGAAGCTCTGATGTGATCTTTAGCATCTATTCTTTCACTTCAGGTGGCAGGAAGTTGCTGTGAGAAAAGGCTGTATTGCTGTTCATGAAATGGAAGCCTGCAGGGAGTACTCAGTGTGCTTTAAACAATGAGTCATTATTTTTTTATTGCTGAAAGAGTCCCTCTGGTTGAAATTTATTGCCAAAAATAGGTTGTTTCTGGTGGTGACTATGTTGACATGAGTACAGGTGGTTTTCGCTTAACGACCACTCATTCAGTGACCATTCAGACTTGCAGTGGCGCTGAACAAGGGTTACTTATGACCGGTCCTTAAAGTTCTGGCCATTGCAGTGTCCCTGTGGTCACGTGATTGCAATCCAGGTACTTGGTGCCTGGCTCACAATTACAACATAGCAGCGTCACATGGTCACCATTTACAGCCTTCCTTGCAAACTTCCTACAAGCAAAATCAATGGGGAAGCTGGCAGGAGGTTGCAGATGGCAACCGTGTGATGTCCTCTTTTAATGATGGCACAGGATTCGCTTAACAACAGCAACTGGGAAGTGCCAGAGCTGTCAGAGCTAAGAGACCCAGTCATGTGACATGCTTTAGGATCACATCGCTTAGCTACAGAAATTTCAGTGCCAATTGCTGTTGTTAACCAAGGACTACCTGTATTGTGCGGCACTAAGATGGTGAATTGGGAAGAGTTGATTTGTGTGATCAAAAACAGAGTAGATAACCTATCATAGCAACCGACAAGTTTTGTGTGAGAAAGGTTGATGAACTGATTAAAGATAGTAGCCAGATCACTCAAAGGGAAATTACTGTCATGCTTGGCATTCCACAGGAATGTACAGGTGGACCAAGGCTTATACAAAATGGGTACCTTGCCTGCTTATGTCAGAGGTGAAAGTTTCAATTTTCTAGCAATTGTCACACTAAGAGAATGAAGCTATGGAATTTCTTCACAGTGTCATGACAGCTAACAAAATGTGGGGTCATTGGTCCATGAAATATCACAAATCTTCACTTGTGAAAAAAAAATTAGAAACCCAGGCTTTGGCAGGAAAACTTAGGTTATTGCTTTTTGGAATGCAGATGGTGTTAATCATGTGGATTTCCTTGAACCAGACACCACTATCAGTTCAAAGTGCTACATTGCAACACTTAAATTTTTGAAACAACAATTAAGCAGAGTTTGGGAGCACAAGACAGAATTTAGCTGTACCATGACTATGCTAATTCTCATATCTCACAAGCCACCAAAGAGGCAGTTGCAAAGTTGGCTTTCATCTTACCTCATCTGATAAACAGTTCAAACTTGGTGCCATGCAACTTCCACCTCTTTTCAAAATTGAAGAAATAACTTTGTAGGCACCTGTTTGATTCTGAAATGAAGAGACAGAAAGGACTGTGAAGACCTGGTTCAAAAAGCAAAACATGAAGTTCTTTAATGATGAGTTTAAAAAGCTTGTCTATTATTGGCAGAATTGTGTGGTGAATGGTGTGATTATGTGAAGAAGTAAATTCAAGTAACAAAAAAAGCTAATTTCAAGGATTATTTTCCTGTTTCTTTATTAAATTTTCCTTATTTATAGTTGTGGAGGTGGAGGCATTACTTTTCATTCAGTCCTCATAGTTGTCTTTCCCTGTGCTTGGACTGTTCATGAAGACTGCTCAACATTTCTTTGATTGCTTAAGTAAAACAGACTACCATTATAAATAAGTAATTGTTTTGCTGGGAGAAAAATCTTACTTATGTCTAGGCAGTATTTTGTGGTTATGGAGATTCTACATTGAAAAATAACTTCATTGTTTTCTTAGCTATTTGTGATACAGTGCCAGAAAAACCTGTTAAGAATTTTCCATTGTGGGTAAAAAAAGATGGAGAGATGGATCCAGAACCAATTTACATCCCAACACCATCAGCTGTTGAGGCAACAAAAACTGTGATGCCACTTATTCCAGAGATCTTACCAACTGATAATAAGCCTGCAGCAAGTGAAGTTAATTCAATGACCAGTGGAGTCAAGCCAGCACGAGTTTATACCCCTAGACCCAATCCAGTGGTAAGTAAAAGAAGTAAGGCTAAGGCTAAACCAGAAATACATATCTTTTTAGTAAAAACTACACATACATTACTAAAGAAATAAAAAGTCATCTTGTTTAAAAAAAAAAAAAGAACCATGGTAGGAAAGAGGTATAATGAGGGTTGGAAATGCTATCTTTCTTTCAACTTCATGAAGGGGTGTTCTGTAAAGAATTTTCAAGAATCAAAAATATCTGGTCTTGTAGAACAATAATTTGAAACTGTTAAAGAATCTAGCAAATTTGGTTTTCCGGGGAATATAATTTTGAAGGCATAGTCATAGTAAAGAATGACTAACCCGTGAACCAGTATTCTGTTTGTTATCACAACTTGTTTTACCTTTATAGCATTATTCTCCAGTCATGGGAAAATGACTTTCTCATTGAAAGAGAATGTTCCACACCATGTCTGAATATTGGATTTTTCTGGCTGTATGGGTTTTCTGACAGTAGATATATTCATGATTACTCAGTCCAGTTTATTCATAGATGAAATTGCTAGAAACTAGATAAGAGTGTGATAGAAGTGCCAGCTTGAGAGGTCTTAAATAACAGTTGTCAGAGGATAGTGATCTCAACTAGATAATCCTCTGGTGGTTATTTAGTCTACGTGTTGTTTATCTCAGAAAATATATTTTACTGGAATGCACATCCATAAAGGACTGCAGCAGATTGGTTTGGGGAGGAAGATAAGGAGATAAATAGGAAGGAATGTTATGAACACCACTTGGAGCTCCTGAATGAAAGGTGGGATATAAATTGAATATATAGTGCATTCAGAAAGTATTCAGACCCCCTTCATTTTTTTCAATTTTGTTATGTTGCAGCCTGATACAACAATTGTTCAAATTCATTTTTTTCTCATTAATCTACACTCAGTACCCCATAATGACAAAGTGAAAACAGAATTTTAGAAATGTCTGTAAATTTATTAAAAAGGAAAAACTGAAATATCACATGTACTTAAGTATTCAGACTATGTTGCAGCCTGATACAACAATTGTTCAAATTCATTTTTTTCTCATTAATCTACACTCAGTACCCCATAATGACAAAGTGAAAACAGAATTTTAGAAATGTCTGTAAATTTATTAAAAAGGAAAAACTGAAATATCACATGTACTTAAGTATTCAGACCCTTTACTTAGTACTTTGTTGAAACACCTTTGGCAGCAATTACAGCCATGAGTCTTTTTCAGTATGATGCAACAAGCTTTGCACACCTGGATTGGGGGATTTTCTGCCATTCTTCTTTGCAAATCCTCTCAAGCTCAGTCAGGTTGGATGGATACCGTCGGCAGACAGCCATTTTCAGGTCTCTCCAGAGATGTTCAATAGGGTTCAAGTCAGGGCTCTGGCT